TGCAATTTTCACATACTTCAGGAATAGATCTGTTGTCAGCTAAATGCAGTCATTGAATAAAACAGAATTAATTGCTTATTACATCTTAAACTTATTGCATTACTTTACCTTATCTGTCAGCTGCATAAGGCTTCGTTACCCATCTTCAAATCTATCTGGGTAGAAGCTGGATCAAGGCAGGATGATATCAAGTTTCCAACCCAACATCATTTTTAGTCTATTAAACTCTGCAGTAAACTCAAGTCTGCCTTCTTTTAGCTTGGAAAATTTTCCTGTTCTGTTTTTCTCTCCATAGATGTTGCCACACCTACTAAGAATTTTCAGCATTTTCTCTTTTAATTTCCATTTAATTTTCTTAGTACTTTGTCCTGTTATATGCTCAATAATTAACTTCTTTTTGTCGTAACCTAGATTGTCAATATATTTAGTCATACTTCCACACATTTGACACCAGTGATTTCTGAACATTATAGATATATTTAAACATGTATAAGCATATTTTTCACATATGTTGGGTGAGAACATAATTTGCAAAAGATGTTTGTTTATTGGTGTTGGTTATTCAAAAGTCACAAAATAACTGTACAAAATCTAATTTATTCTTTGATTTTCTTTTTTATCTTTCTTTCTAGTTTCTGTGAACTTAGTACCACATTTGGTATATACATATATGGAGCCTATCCAGAAATCTCTTATTCATCAGAACTGTTGCTTGGTGTTTTCATTTTAGTATTTTTGTTATTCATTTTAGCCGGTTTTACTCTGCATTGAATAAATAAGAATGAGATTTGAGCACTTTTTGAATGTATAAATTGCAAAAGAGAGCTGGTCTGAATCAAAACAAAAGTTAAACAAAGCACTTTACATCCTGGGCTTAGCAAACTTCCTACACCAACTGATACCACGGTTTTGAAGAAGATTTACCTAATATTTCTTACATGAAGTAAATAACCAAATTTTCTAACTTTTTAAACTGCATTGGTATGTCAGCTTCTAACTTTAGGGTGCATTGTGCAATTAATCTGCTTATAGATTAGAATCTTGGAAGTTCCTAAGAACAGGAAACAAGGCACATAGGGAAACTTAATTGGGTACGAAGACAACTGGCAGTTTCTAACAGCAGGATGAAAGTTGGATATTAAGCTGCAGCATATTGAAGGTGAATTGTACTTCTTGATGATTAGCAAGGAAATCTCTTCTTAGTACATTAGCATATCAAGCTTACTCATTAAAACACGACTTCACCAAATTAAAGTGCATCTCTTGAATCAAGAATGGAGCAAATGAGAATCATGTGTCTTTGGATTTGGTTAAAGGTAATGTGCAGGAGGTGTGGTGGTCTTCCTGGTGTATTTGGAGTGAGGAGGAGCTGCATATATGGGGAGTTTTATTGAATCAAGGAGAGGAAACATTGATTGGCTGGCATCTGTAAAACAGCAACAGAGCATGACTGACAAAGAAATGGAGATGGTATGTCTTGTATGTGACAGAGGAAGTTAAACTGCATAGAAAGTTCAATGTGTAAAGTCAGTAGATCAAGTATGATTGTGGAACAATCAAAGTCTATACAGGAAACATCAAGGTGAAGGCCTGAGACTTGAGGGTAACTGGACTGGACCAGCCATAGCCGTGGCTACAAAAGCACATCAAAATCTACTTACATAGTGATGAGTAACTCACCTCCACACTCCTCAAAAGTTGTCCACCATCTACAAGGCACAAGGCAAGAGTGCGATGGCATACTCTCCAGTTGCCTGAATGAATATAACTCCAATAACTGTCAAGAAGCTTGAAACTGTCCTATATTCCTATATCAAGAATATTGAACCTTGATACTATCCTATAGTGACACACCATCTAATACCCTCAACTAACTGCCTCCTCTACAAATTCCTAGTAGCAGCAGTGTGTACTGTTGTGATAGATTATTTTAGGAAATAAGCTTAGGACCCTTGAGGTACAGGTCAAAGATCGTTTATTGAGCCAACACTGGGAGAGTCCATTCCAGAAAAGATTCCAAGGTAGCACTTTAACCTAATGAGAATTCATCAGATATTTATACATTGTAAGTCATTAAACAGTGCATTATTTGAATACCAAAATAATCTGTTTTAGACAAGCACCTTTTAGACAACAATCCAAAAGAGGCAAGGCATCTGTTACACCACTACTCCCTAACTTGCCATGTCCCATTCTATGTCCTCTCTGAAGCCTGTGCCTCATTCCCATCTTTGACCAAACTCCATTGTTTTGTCTATGGTACAGGGTCATCCTCACATTCCATTTCCAAATAGGCCTCAGGGTTAATGCTGGTTCAGCCACATTGCTTTTTTTACAGAACTCTGAGTGCTGAATCAGCGTCTGAGTGTGTTTATGCAGTTTAACTAATGTTTCTTTTAAACTGACTACTTTTTGGAATAAGAATAAATGAAAAATGAATCTTAAATGATTTAAAATGCTACCTCATTCCAATCCCAGCTGGAAATTCACATGGTTTTACAGGTTAACTCAAGTCATACCCAAATTGCCCCCTAACAGTACAATCTACAAGATGCACTGCAATAATTCACCAAATCTTTTTAAGGCAGCTCCTTCCAAACCCACATGTTCTAACACCTAGAAGGACAAGGGTAGTAGATTTATGGGAACATCACAACCAGCAAGTTCCATCCAAGCCACACATCATCCTGACATTGAATGATATCACTGTTCTTTCACTGGAACTACATCACTAACATCACTGTGTCTGGACCTACTCATCTTCCACATGGCTATATAATTGTTCATGAAGGCAGTTCACCACCACCACCTTGAGGCCAATTAGAGATGGTCAATAAATACTGGCCTAGCTAATGGCGTCCATACCCTGCAAATAAATTTTAAAAGGTAGAGGAAGGTCAAGGCTAATGGAATGTGAACTGAGGAAGATGGGCAGCAGCTTGAGGGTAACAGGGTACACTCCCCCAATGCTGGTAGGCTGACCAATGGTAATGGGTGGAAGCTCCAGGGTGGATAATAGTTGATCAGAATGGTGAAGGGCAGATCGAAGGCCAATGACACTCTGTGAAGGATGATGGAGGATGCTCAAAGGTGACTGAGGGAGGGTACAGGGGATGGTTTCCACTTTCAAGATTAGTTTATGCATATCGACGGACATGACTGCAACAAGGAGCTCTCTGGAGTAAAGCTCGAGGATGGAGTTGTCTGTGGTAGGGTGCGTGAAGCCTCACTTTCAGCCAAATCAGCTGTTTCTCCAACAATGGCCTATTCCAGTTGCATGTGGAGTATAACATTTTGAAGAATGAAGGGACGTCTGTAAGGTAGGCATTTTTTTCTATAAAATGATGAACATGACCATTTTATATTTCTCTGTCATTTAAATAATTGTAAGGTAAAGCTGCTTTTACCAAGGCCTAAACTCATTCATTATGAGTTTATTCATTCATTTATGAAAGAACCTATTGGTTGCGCAATGGCCCAGTGTTGTTACTGCTAAACTGTCAATCCAGAGACCCAGGTAATATTATGGGACCTGGAATTGAATCTACCATGGCAGACAGTTGAATTTGAATTTAATAATTATCGAGAAATAAGAGTTTAATGATCATGAAACCATTGCTGATATTCAGGAAATCCCCATCTGGTTCAGTGTTGACCTTTTTAGAGAAGAAAATCTGCCATCCTTACATGGTCTGGCCTACATGTGACTCTAAACCGACGCAATATGGTTGACTCTCAACTGCCCTCAGGGCAATTAGGGATGGGCAATAAGTGCTGGCACAGCCAGTGACTCGCACATCCCATGACTGAATAATCTAAAAAAAGCAGAGTGTAACATTTCCACTTGGCGCACCAGCTACCTATAATTTCATGGAGTAAATCACTAATTTAGTAATAAATTGTAGATTGTTTTGTTCTGATGTCCCATTTCTTGACTGGAGGTAATGATTCTGAAACAGCTTGACAGTTTAGATACTGAGAAGATGTTTTATAGAACAAAGAGGCACAGTTTCAAACTATGGTGATTTATTATGAGCTCACAGGGTCATTAATTTTAGGAACTCTCTTCCACAGAGAGCAATGGAGGCTGGGTTGTTCAATATATTCAAGGCAGAGTTGGACAGATTTTTGATTGACAAGGGAGTCACAATTTATGGGGCACTGACAAGAAGGTGTAGTTAAGGCAACAATCAGATCATTCATGATCTTATTGAATGGCAAAACAGGCTCAATGGGCCAATATACTGCTACTTCTTATTGTCTTACAAGATTTCCTAAAATAATTTCATATAAAATTCTTACATTTCACAGGCAGTGGAGACTGTCAAACCACCATACAGGGCTAAATTTGTGCAACATAAAAGGCCAATGAACAGTTCACTGCACAATGTGGCTAAAGATGTGTAATTTGGCAGTAGAGTGACAAGTTCAACAAGAAACTACATCTTGGCTTTTTAAATGGAAACCTGGATGACGATATGCACAATTTTGTATGTACATGAACTGTGACTTTACTTTGGGTAATTTTGTACAATCTATAGATATTCACTTTTTTCTGTAAACTGTTTGCACTATCCTGATCTATTAATGGTGTTGACTTGATTTAGTATTTCTGTCCTATGATTAGCACAATGAAGCAGCAATTTGCTAAAGTTACTATTGCTAGTTATTATTTGCTAAATCTCAAAATTGTTTACTTTTTGTCCCAACTCCTGAGGGCTCATAAAAAAGTAGTTCTGAGTGAACTACCGGATAAATGAAATAGATTTCATGTCTTACATAATACAAGGTGACTATTTTTAAATATGTTACTGAGCATATACATTCTATGAATTAGACATCAATGTAGCCATTTGGTAGTATACTAATTAGGATTTAATCAGCACAACTAGGTTCCTATTACTTGCACCTGATCTCCTCTACCTAGTTTAAAACTATTTTTTTAGGTAAATGTTGTAGTTAGATTCCATTGGTAATAATCTTTGTAATGTTTGCCATTTATACTTTTGAATTGTGATCCAAATCTAAATCCAGAAAATTGGTTTAAATCTTGCACTTCAAAATAGCTGATTGCATGCTTCTTGATGCACCATTTTTGAATTTCTTTTTCCTCTTGTGTAGTATTAGTTTTCAATTACTATCTTTACTAAAATGATTTAGAAAAGCATTAATTCTAGCAAGTTAATTTCAGAATAGGGATGGATATTTTCTCACCTGTGTTGACTTTCCATGCTGGCTTGAGTTTATTTTTGGCCTGGACTATATTTGAACCCCAAGTGTACCAATCCATTTCTCTGCTAGGAGTTAGTCTCTCTCTGTCTCTTCTGTGAAACGTTTTTTTTTTGGCTGAATATATCTTTAAACTGGTTTCTTTTTCTCAGGTAAATGTTCTTGAGGGTTTTTCTATTTTACTATGGTTCATTAGCTGTAGTATTTTAGTTTGCTTTTAGTAGCTTTGTCTCTCAACAATATGCTCTCTTATTAGGAACCTGCTGTTGCTGATTTGGCAAGCTAGAAGCAAATAAATTTCCAATAAATTGTCCACACAAAGTATTTTTTTTTTTGGAAATGAACACATTTTGTGTATTTGTAGGCAGAAAGCAGTTTGGCTTATGCAAAGAGTCTGTTTTTAAATAAAAGTAAAGTATTAAGTTTGCTAGATTTTTATAAGGCCAAAAAAATGCTTTATCAGTGCCTCATAGTTGGAGGTATTCTTCTATGTTCACCATATCCCAAGTCCATCTTGAATGCTAAAACTTTGAAGAGGGATTATCTCTAATTGCATTTGAATGTAACAATGTTTGATTTCATTCTGATCATTTACGCCACTTTTTGACTTTTTTTTTGAAAGTAAAACCTGGTTAATTTCCCTTTTTAAGATTTAAATATTTGCTTCTGTGTTTTTTGTTTTTAAAGCCTGTTGCCATGTCATCTTCAGACTCACCGGCTTCTTGGTTAGGATCTCCTGCTAGTTGTAGTTCCCCAGTGCAAGTAGTAAGAGAGAGAAAATTCCAGTCGCATTTTTGGAAGCGGATCAGTAGCGAGGATGCTGGACAGTTGCAATGCAACAGCGACCAACAGTAAGTCTGGCTGGCTGAATAAGATTGTTTGTGTTGTGTGAATCTGAGATAACAAGGTGTAGAGCTGGATGAATACAGCAGGCCAAGGAGCATCAGAGGAGTAGGAAAGCTGAAGAAGGGTCTAGGCCCGAAACGTCAGCTTTCCTGCTGTTTGGCCTGCTGTGTTCATCCAGCTCTACACCTTGTTATCTCTGTGTTGTGTTATGCTTTCTAATGCAAGTATAATTCCTTGAATCTCTGTAACTTCTGCTATTTGACTCTTGTCTCCAATCAGCACCTCAACTCAGTTTAATTACTTTCATTCTTTAGAATGGCATAGGGAAATTAAAATATCCTTGGGTCCCTGCAACCTCTCCTGTACATCTGTGATTGTTTGTTTGTGTATCAATATAGTATATACTTTCCATTGCACCAAAACCATGTGACATCCAAGAGGAGGAAAATAAATAGTAAACTGTAACCTGGAGAGACAAATGTAGTAAACTTCTCTGATTGCTAGGAAATTAGAATGAGTTCAACAGATCATGCTAACTTGAATTCTATGCAAGAGGTGACTTCCGTTTTAATTTTCTTGAAAGAACTCAACAATTGCATTAATCTCTCTCATCAGCCTGTTAGAGAGAAACATTATTCTCTGGGGAAAGGGACTATCACCTGACCTCTAGTATTAAACTTAGATCTGTAATTCCTGGTTCTCTCTAACGTTTAGTTATGCTAAGGCCAGGTGAGGTAGAAATGAACACCCCTCTTTTTTTCAAGCTCGCTGGTCACAACAAATGTTTAAGGTCTTTTTGGCAAGCAAGTGTACCTTCTTTTAAATTAAAATGTTCTTAATTTTTTTAGCACTGAGGAGCCATTCACAAGGTTTCACTGAGTTTGTGAAAAGAGCAAGTTTATTATCTGCTAACCCCCAAGAAAAAGACTTGATATTAAGTGTATGGCCTTTGAACAGGTACAAAGTTAAGGAGATAGTGAAGGAGCACAGTGTCCAAAGGAAGATAAGAATATATAGTGAGCTCTGCATTCTTCCAATTCTGGCTTTGTGTGTCTTGCACACTTTGACCTTTTTATTTGGTGGCTCCATCTTTAGCTAACTCGGCCTAAACACTTACTTCCATCACTAAACTTGCACTTTGTTTAAGAAGGTTCTTTTGCAAAAATAAAAGGATGTCCTTAACCAGGTTTTATTCACGTAGCCTAAAGTTTCCTCCTTTTTTGTTTCGTGTCAATTTTTGATTTTGTTACTTTCCAGACAAATCTTTGAATAATTTTCCACATTAAAATGTGCAATCTATTGTAACATTCTCTATGGGATTTCAGTGTTGGAGGGAAATCTACAACATAACTAAACAGGAACTGTAAATATGCCAGGAAGGTTGAATGGCATTTTCCTTATTGTTCTTGAGGTTGAACAACCCAAAATCTAATGGGCAGTTTTTAAATTTTAAGTTGTATTATTAATAAACAAATACATGCACTTCACATTTTCAAAGGCTAGAAGTGAAAATTGACAAATGGGTGAGATGAAGATTAAATTTTTTTTCTGCAATTGAATATTTGTAAATGATGTTTTAATTAAGCATCTTATTTCTCAATTTTGTTTTATGCAGTAATTCCTGTGATCTGTGTGAGACCAATGATGATTGCTTAGAGTGTAATGAATGGATTCCTCCCAGCTCTGACACAATACAAAAAATAAATACTCAAGTTGAATTTTACCTATCTGATGAAAACCTAGCAATGGATAGTTTTCTACTAAAACACATGAAGAGGAATAAAATGGGTTACATTAGTATTAAACTGCTCACTTCATTCAAAAAGGTAAGGATATTCTCATTTGGAGTCAAATTGTCCAATTCTGTTTCCAGAGGGATTTTGCCTTGAGTAATTTATTTCTGTAGTTTGCCATTTTTCCTTTTTCTTCATTTAGACAAGCATCTTTTCTTTTACAATTTGGAATTTGCAAGATGAAATTTTTGAGACACATAACAGTACGTTTCAGAGTCTCATCATTGCGTTCTTGAAATGGAATGCTCTAAGACTAGAGTTTAAACATCAGGCATCAACTTGTACACTCTGTCCAAGGTGACAGAAGTAAATGCTTTATGACTTGATTGTCACCCTTGTCTTCACTTTGCAACTTTTGGTATTGCTCAATATTATAACACATTGGGCACTTGAATGCCAAAAAAAATGCACTTCAGCGTTGGATGAAGACCTTACCTTTACCTGTTTAAGTAGATGACATATTTAGGAATCCTGAAGGTTTCTCTGGAACTGGCAATTGTAGCATCAGTGGTTAGAAAGTATTCACCTGAATACATTTTTGCAGGAAATTGAGTCCATGCCAGCATATGTTTTCCTGGAACCGAAGTTTCAATGCCTGATTAGGCCCACTTTAATTGAGCACAAAAGTATAACCAATGTTTCCAGTCAGTCCTCGAGTATCAAGTCTTACATTGGGATTTATGTTTTTATTAACTTTCTGTTTTGTATAAGGGTTTAAGCTATTCTGTACAAAGGCTTTTTAGATGCATATGTCAGCTAATGATTCGGCATTTTTCAAAACCATAAAGGAGAGCATCCAGGATCTTCTAATATAAACGAAAATGGCCAAATCTCTTTCCAAATGAGACTGTTTGGAGTCATAGAGTCATACAGTACAGAAAGAGACCCTTCAGTCCAACTCGTCCACACCAACCAGATATCCTAAATAAATCTAGTCCCATTTGCCAGCGTTTGGCCCATATCCTGCTAAATCCTTCCTATTCATATACCCATCCAGATGCTTTTTTAAATGTTGTGATTGTACCAGCCGCCTCCTCCACCTCTGGTGGCTCATTCTAATACATGCACCACCTTGTGCATGAAAATGTCGCCCCATAGGTTCCTTTTTTTTTTTTTTTAAATCTTTTCCCTCCTCACCTCAAATCTTTTGCCCTCAAATTTTGGGCTTCCCTCACCTCAGGGAAAAGACCTTGCCTATTTACCCTATCTATGCCCTTCATGATTTTATAAACTTCTACTAGGTCACCCCTCAGCCTCAGATGCTGCAAGGAAAATAGACACAGCCTATTCAGCCTCTCCCTATAGCTCAAACCTTCCAACCCTGGCAACATCCTTGTGAACCTTTTCTGCACTCTTTCAAGTTTCACAACATCCTTCATATAGCAGGCAGACCAGAACTCTTCACAGTATTCCAAAAGTGGCCAAACCAAAGTCCTGCACAGCCGCAACATGACCTCCCAACTCCTATACTCAATGCACTGAACAATAAAGGCAAGCGTACCAAACGCCGCCTTCACTATCCTGTCTACCTACAACTCCAATTTCAAGGAACTATGAGCCTGCACTCCAAAGTCTCTTTGTTCAGCAACGCTTCCCAGGACCTTACCATTAAGTGAGTGAATCCTGCTCTGATTTGCCTTTCCAAAATGCAGCATCTCACATTTATCTAAATTAAACTCCATCAGCCCCTCCTCAGCCCATTGACCCATCTGATCAAGATCCCATTGCTCTCTGAGGTAACCTTCTACACCTCCAATTTTGGTGTCGTCTGCAAACCCACTAACCATACCTCCTATGTTCACACAACATCATTTGAGTGATGAAAAGCAAGTGGACCCAGCACCAATCCTTGTGGCACACTGCTGGTCACGGGCCTCCAGTCTGAAAAGCCACTCTCCAAAGCCTCTCTGCTCCTATGATGCTGCTTGGCCTGCTGTGTTCATCCAGCCCTGCACCTTGTTGTCTCCACCACTACCCTCTGTCTTTTAGTTTCAAACTATTTCTGTATCAAAATAGCTAGTTCTCCCTCCAATCTGTGTGACTTACCCTTGCTAACCAGTCTACCATGAAGAACCTTGTTGAGTGCCCGACTGAAGTCCATATAGATTATGTCCACTGCTCAGCCCTCGTCAATCCTCTTCGTTACTTCCACAACAAAACTCAATCATGTTAGTGTGACATGATTTCCCCCACACAAAACCATGTTGACTATCCCTAATCAGTCCTTGCCTTTCCAAATACATGTAAATCCTGTCCCTCAGAATTCCCTCCAACAACTTGCCCTCCATCGATGTCAGGCTCACTGGGCTATAGCTCCCTGACTTTTCTTTGCCATGTTTCTTAATTGGGGCACCACATTGACCAACCTCCAGTCTTCCAGCACCTCACCTATGGTTATCAATGATACTAATATCTCAGCAAATTTGAAACTGTCTCTGATTTTTCAAACTATGCATTTGCTTTGGGCTTGAATCTGAAATGTGGAGACACAAATCTCGGGATAACAGTTGAAGAGAGATTGATTCTGATTCTGGGGCTACATATGGAATTCTTTATCTTGATGGTTGTGGGGGAGGGGACATGGGTTATGGATGCCCCTATTGAGTATGTGAGACAGACATTTGATCTCAGACTTGAGATGGAGAGTGGGAAAGAGGAATTGAGTCCCAATGTCAGCCATGACTATAGTGAGTTGTGGAGCAGGCTTGAGAGTTCTTGAGCAGGAGTGCACCAGGTTATGTTAACACTGACCTTACCTTAGTTGCTTTGTCTGTGTGTAATTTTTGTCAAGTAACAGCTCTAGTCAATTTGAAAATTGCCTCTAAATTTATTTTGTGAGAACAGTGTAAAGATGACACGCAAATTCCTGAAGTGTTCCATATTTTTGACTCCAAGTCAGAGTAATGTGTGACATGTTTCGGGTAGTACTAAACACTGTGGGAGTCACGTAAGCAAGATGCAGGTTGGCCATTAGTAAGCTTTGCACAGAAGCAAAAGAAGCAGCATGGTGGCTCATTGTTTCGTATTGTTGCCTCACCGGGCCAGGCACCTAGAAACGATTCTACCCTTGGGCGACTGTCTGTTATGTGGAGATGCATATTCTCCCTATGTCCGTGTAAGTTTCCTCTAGATGCTCCAGTTTACCCCCACAGTCCAAAGATGTGTAGTTTAGATGGATTGGTCATATCAAATTGCCCATAGTGTCCAGGGATTTGCATGCTAGCTGGATTAGCCATGGGGAAATGCAGAGCTATAGGGATAGGGTAGGGAGATGGGTCTGGGTGGGATGATATTTAGGGGGTCAATGTGAACTCGATGGGCCAAATGGCCTGAACCTACACTACGTGGATTCTTTGATTCCATGAACTAAGATCACCTAGAATAAAGATGTCCTTTCTTGTGCCGCGATCAAAAATGGTGGAGCACACTCAATGGGTTGAATGGCCTAATTCTGCTCCTAAATCTTGCGGTATACTCCCTCATTCTGAAGATCTTGCAGAATCTCCAGGCTGAAGAAATGTTAATTTCAATATTACCAGAAGGAAGCTATAATTTGAGACTCTTTGAATTCACATGTTGATTTGAGCTATAGTTCTCTTTATAGTTTAAATTGTGCTGCAGTACTTTTTTTTTAAAAGTAGCTTGTCTACAAATGAATCTCAATCAAATATTACATATGAATGTTTGTTTATTTTCTTGAAGTTGTCTTGTTAGTCCAATATTACTGCCATGTTTTTATAGGCTGAAGTTATGGTCTTTCATGGATTTAAAATTGAAGGTATTAAAACTTTAATCTTTTTTAAAATTGTTTGCTCAGATTTTTTGTGTGACTTGGAAATAAAACAGTGAAGACATGGGCTCTAACTTATTCTGACAATGTTAAATTATTATGATTCTGTATTTAAAGACATGAAATTTTATTGCAGTCTTGGCCCTGGTTCATTTTGCCAGGTAAGTTGGAGCATTTCAACTTCTTTAATCGAGCATTTTTATTTTTTTTTTGTCCCCCTGTGGCACTATAATTGGACTGCTACTGAACTTAAAACTTCAAATCAATGTTAGAACAACAAGAAGAAGCCGAAAAATAACATAGCTTTTTTAGCCCTTAATTTCAAAATGTGCATCTTTAAAAAGAGGACTGCTACAGAGACAAAATGACTAGGTGTAAATTCGGTAGTTTGCTGGCAAAAACATTAGTTGGGGACTGGTTGGATGTGACACCTTTTAAAGGTGTCAGGGACTTCTTGTGACCTCCTTTACAACTACAAAGATAACAAGGGTGTGACATAAACACTGCTCAACACAAAGCTCCCCGCTGCGCTTTGTGGATTATGTCCCAAACTGTAGACACGTTTTGTGTGTTTTAATTTTGAAAAATAATTGAGGACTGGATTTAAAAGCCAGTTTCAAATCTTCTGGCAGAATCTAGAGAACTGACTTTGGGTTTGTATTAGCCTGGGTTCAAATATTAATGTGCTGTGCAGGTCACAATTGAAGAACTAACCCCTCATCGCCCTGTGCTGCAGGCAAAGAACCTGACTACCACTGGACTAGGTAGCCTTGAGAGAAAAGGGGAACATAATCTATGAAATAAGATAAATGAGCCTGTAGCACAACTGAAGTTGGCAGGTACAATGTTCTGGGTATCACAGAAATGCCTGCAGGGTCTTGGGGCTGGGACTTGAATAGTTAAGGATCCTTGTCCTCAAAAGGCTGCACAGAGGAGGCAGGTTACCACTTTAAGAAATGAAATTGTCAACAGCAAGAACTGATACAGAGTAGGAAGACACAGAATCTGTGTGGGTTGAGTTGAGGAGCTGTAAAGAAATTGATTTCTGGGAGTTGTGTATAGTGGTAGTCAGGATGTAGGGAAGAAAATAAATCGGGAAATAAAATCATGCATGATTATTGTTTAATAGTTCCTTTTGTAATATGCAGGTGGACTGGGAAAATCAGGTTGGTAACAGATCTCAAGAAAAGTAGTTATTCCAGAAGTTCTGACATGGTGTTTATTTTTGTTTTGAGTGGCTTGT